GACGACCTTGTTTGACAATTGCTAATGTCGGACGGTAGACTTGGTACATTTTAGCAGACGGTTCGCTGGCATCATCATCATTGAATCCTGCCATTCTCAGCAACAAGCTACAATTGGTCAGAGAGGCAAGTGACTTCCAGCTCTTGACCAACTTTCGGCTAAACATTTGTGGTCACTGCTGCTGTCCTGATATATTCATTTATCCCATATCCTTGTATCTTTTACTTCACTGTCACCATCCCGACGAAACGTCTAGGCATGTTTCAAGTCCACGGTCCGACGTTTGAAATTATCATAATTTCTCTATTTTTCATTTTTAAATAGATTTTCAAAACTATTACACATTTCATAAGACTACTATAACAGATGAGTTCGGACAATCTGCGTTCATCCCAGGTCATCCTAACAACAAAGCCGAACAGTGAAATGGAAATGGTCAAACCACTTTTTGCGTATTATTTTGCGGTATTTTATTGTCCTTCTAGATTTCTGTTTATCTACGGTGTTTGGGCATACTTTCCTTTTATATGTCATTTGCCCAACTTGTTATCGAGACCTTCATTTCGTGCTTGTATATATATATATATTTATTTTTTATATTTATATATTTATATATATATATATATAAGAGGTAAGATATAGCCTTGGTAGTCTTCTTGACCTAGAATCGGTTTCAGCTCTGAGGATGTCTTTCAAATGATGTACGAAAGCTCAGCCCATTTTCACCTGAAACGAGGGTGCAAGTCTCGTGGACTGGGTCAACTTAAACATCGTACGAAAGCCAACCTGCATTCATCCGTCGTCTTCTGCTGAGATCGACCCTTGAATCTCTTCTGCGTGCAATTTCACACGAATTGAACGTTCATCTAAACCAAGTTACTCTTCGTATCTTCAATTTGCCAATCCTTAATGATCACAAATCGGGCAATTCAGCTCCATTTTGGAGTTCATGAGCCTGCATAAGTCATCTTCAAGATTAGTTTTCTTTCTTCCACATCTCTTTCCCAGGCTGGATCTCTTATCAGCAACGCCAACATGGTCACAACTGCTTCTCCGACCTCTCCTGAGACCCCCGGCGAAGCTCGAAAGACAAGTGTTCCGCTTCCGAGCATGGCTTCACGTCTACCTTGCACCGATTTAGCTGGCAATTTCATTCATCACAAACCTCAGCACAGCATAAATAACTCCCACCAACCGATTCCTTCATTCCAACCGCAACTGAGTCCATTGGTGGGACACGAGCAGATGAGCCCGAACAACGCTTGGCGCCGGAGTGGCTTCTGTCTCCAGGCCTCCTCAAATGCTTTTCACCAACCTGATGGTTCGCCTCTGACCCTCGGCGAGCCTGGATCTCCTCTGGCCGTGCCTGTTCCACATGCTTCGTCAACAGTTGCTAGCTCTGCTGCACTTCGACCGGGCCTCGACAATTTGGTGGGTCCGTCTGTTCTGGGCTTGCCAGGCTTGAACAGTTCCGAAACTCTTCTGCCCGACCACTTTTCGTCTTCTTCGCCTCCACCTCCGGCGCCACCACTGCCACCACACCAGAAAGTCTATCCATCCAGCCCTCTGCCGTCCATCTTTCCTATTTCGTCCACAGTGACCACACCCTTGGTGAGCCTAATGTGTCGTTGTCCATTGCAGGTTATATTTTTACACTTGAATCCATGACGTAAAGCTGGGCTCTTAGGGATACTTTCAAGATCTACCAGAAGATCATCATCATCTCATCCTTTCTTTTTGATATAAGCGTTTTATGAAGCGGATTCTAAAATCAGCCTCAGCATAAGCTAAAAAAGTTGTAGTGGACGTGGATTGTTGATTTTAGCGAATACAAGCCCTGTCAACACTATCCAAATGAATGAATAGATCGGTTCCTCATGAGATCACTTCTTGAATACCTTCTATTCCATCCAGATGCGAATGTTCGTGGTTCGTTAGGATTGTAATTGGGATCCCTGTCTGTAGTTGCATACTTTTTTGCAAACATACAGGACGCTTTCTAGTCGTCCTAAAGATAGAAATTTAACCTACAATAGTATAAAAGTACAATCCCATCTGACTGCAAGGGCACTTTTGGGGACATAAATTGTTGTATCTATATTTCTCTTCCTTAACCCCCTTTGAATTTTCTTCCTAATTTCTCTGTATTCATGTAATCCTCATCGGGGCATGATTGTATTATCTGCTTCTTTAGTAGTATGTGCAGTGTGAGTACGTCCCGAAAGTATAAGGTGATTTAAAGACTGGTAGTTGTTTTTTTCGACAATGCTATAAGTGTGTCTCAATACACCAACGAAATTAACCTAGTCTTTCCTTCCAAAAACTTTTCTTATTTTGGGAGGAATGGCTAAATGTAATTGAATGGCATCTTAAAGCCGACTAATCACACGACCTTATAATATTTAAGTACCGCATTGATAATTTGGCTATATTCTTGCTGTGTTTCGGTTAAAGGGAGGCTGTTAAAGCTGCAGAAGTTGAGGCAAAATAATATATGAAGAAAAACTGAGTTTCTAAAAATCCCTTAGTGACATGAATTTCCATTTAGAAGAAATAGTTGGTTGGAAGGGACTCGTGAAATGGTCCCATTCGAAGTCGAAGGAGGATTGCCGCGGAGGAAAGACTGTTGGATTGTGCGAATAAGTCATCGGCTCACCGTCCTGCGACCCGATGAACCTGCGCTAAACATTCTTCTGTACCGCCGTGACGGATTCGCCTCTGAAAGTTTAGAGTCCGCAACAAGTACATCTCTTCCTTCCTTGGCCTTTGGCTTTTTGTGTGTAACTGGGATTTCTCATGGCATGCCTTCTCACACTAAACCTGGCAACAATTGAGGCTCGATTCATTTGTGAATCTGGCAATCCTTTACGCCAAAAAATGCGTTTTATTTTGGACCGGACCGTATTTTGAACCTTGAGCAGGATTTTAACTTCAAGAGTTACCGACATGCACTAAGGAGTTACAGGGCGGACGTGACATTAAGAGAGCCGAGATGAGCTCTCACTGAAACTTGCACTTACGAGATGTATCAAACTTGGAATCGCTTTTAACTCGACATGTTACTTACCTTACGCTGACGAGCATCATGTTTTTTTACTCATCTGATTGAATTTGACTCCTAGTCTCGATAATCTCTTTCTATAATTCTATTGAGGCGAGGCCATTGCTTAGGCCTTACTCAGCTGAGAAGTCTCTTTTTAGGAAGACTGTAAAGATAAACTTACTCTGAGCTAAGGTATGGAGACCAAGATGGGGTGGCCTTTTGTGTGGTCGCAGTCTCCTTTTGTTGTATAGAAGTCGTTTGACCTTGTTTTCGCAACTTGGTCATGTTGGTAGGAAGACTTAGAGCAACGCACCTAGTCCGAAGTCCATTGTATGCATCATCATTTCCAAAGTCGGACCGTGGACGTGGTACATTCCCAGACGTTTCGCCGGGTTGGTGAGTTTTGCCATTCATATTACACTCACCATATTACAACTCGTCAAAGAGACAAATGAAGCCGATTCTTTGAGCAAACGTGTGCTAAACAGTTGTGGTATCTCCCCTTCTGCCCTGGCCTATTCACATTTCCTATAACCTCCAATCACACCTTCACTGTCACAATATTTTACTTGCTTTATTAAATGTGGTACGGTGTACCCTTTTTTTAAAAGCGGCTTTTATGAGAACCCTCAGCACTCCACGATGACCTTCACACCACCCTTCATCCTTGTACTGGGAATGTTCATCAGGCTCTGCCATATTGTTACGCAGTCCTCCTTCCTTAGGTCTTACCACAGTCTCT